AGTGGCGCTGTACCTTCCTTAATAATATAAAGGCTTGTATTTGCGTGCATTTCCTGTTCGGAAAGTGGCGCTGTACTGAGAGTGGAGGGTAGCGCCTGCAGGCAAGCTCCATGGAGCTGTCAGCTCCGGACTGCGCAAAATGCGTACATGAAGCGCTACGTCATGAACGCAATAAATCTACCCTCGTGGGGGCGCGCTCATGTGATTGGCTTAGAATTGAGGAGACATCTGATTGGCTATAGATAGAAACAATTACAAGTACGAATCGGCTGACCGTCAGGGGAGTCTCAAAAAACCCACACACGAATGCACAGCGATCCGTGCACAGAAAGCTGTTTGTGTTTGCAGGTGCAGTGGTTTTAAACTGAAAACAAATATGTGAGGATCAAAAATACACATGTAAAACTTTTTTCTGTATTTGGATTTTATTTACATGTATATGAAACGGAATACATTTGTGTGTGCATTGAAAAACACAAGTGTGGATCCGGAAATACAAGTGTGAATCCTTTTGCGGATCATGAAATACAAGTGTGAATCCTTCTGTGCGCATGTGTGTATTATGAGACTGTTCTGAGCCCATAGGTTATGCACATAACCTGCGTACCAGTTATGTGCTACCTGTACTACAGCAAAAGTATTCTCCGTCGGGACTTCCTGCAACAACACCACGCAGTTATCGTGATTGTGATTGGCCAGAAGACATTATCAAAGATGTTCTATCGAGAAGACGATCACTACGTGACAAAAGTTTTCTTTATTTTCTTTATTTTGCTTACTTTAACATCATTTTTCATGGTGGGGCTAGCCGCTAAGCCATTTCTTGGTATGGGTGTAGCCAGAGCCATATAATAGAAGAGTTATGACAACTCCGTTCACTCCAATGGACCACTTTTTTACAGCAATGGCGGATCGTGGAGCCTCTCAATCGTTCCCCGGAAGTTAGTGCCAAGGCTAGCAGAGCTGTGGAGTTGCAGCATAATAGACCGTTCGTGACGGACTTTTAAAGGTAAGAAGAAGTTTAAAGATTTATATTGCGGATATTATCAGTACATCTGATTCAATTGAACATGTGTATTAAAGGATGTCAGTGGATTATCCCTAAATTAGTAGATTTAGGGAACGTTTACAGATAACAGATCAAGCTAGGATACCGAAGCAAGTTAGCAACACACGTTGAACAGCCTTTTAATTGTAAATTCCGTTCTCTTAATGTCTATTTGGTCCAACGTTGTTGAATTAGAGAAGAGGGGCTTCTAAACGGGATTGTATGCGGGGGTGGAGGGAGTTAAATATTAGATAAATATAACTTTGGTGCGTGTAAGAGTGAGTGTTTTTAGCAGAGCCATATTGTGTCCTTGTGATTATGTTGATTATTACCTGTGTGTATAATGTTGCAGCTCAGCTGATTTTGGATTGATGGCAAAGGGAGAGGAACTTAAGTGAGAGTGAACACACAAGGTAAGTTTAATACTACTGTTTTATATAAGTAAGCATACTAAACATGTATTATATCACTGTATTATATAAGTAATCTTGTTAGTAACCTACTGTATGGCAGGTGGAGGGGCAGTGATGTTACAGGTGGAGGAGCAAAACTGCAAGACTGCAAACTCACAAGACAGAGAAATCGAAGTTTGTTCTCCAGAGAAGAGGTTGATTTCACTTCAATTTTTTCATATTTTCTAAAGATGTGGAAATGGCACAAAAAAAAACTTGAGAGCTGTAACCAAGACAACTGTAACAAAACAACATGAGTAGAGAGCCACCAAGGTTTTTCAAGTCCCTCTCTTACTCCATTTTGCCAACCCAAACTTCCAGGTACATGACGGGACACCTTGCTTGTTTTTGTTGTTTGCGCTCCTCTGGCAGGTGGAGGGCAGTGATCCCTTCCCTTCTTCCCTCAATCTTTGAGACTAATGTAAGTAGAAGACATGGCACTGTAAATGTTCGAACATTTAAAAATATTATACCACTTAAAAATAAGAAATATTACTTTTGTTACTAAGAGTTCATACTTATTATACCTGTGTCACCTTTCACACTATCGCTGTGATCATGAGCTATGGGCTTTGTAGATACAGGTCCCGGGGTGAATCGTGGTGCAGGGGCCCTTCTCTTTTTGACCACAGGGCGATGCACGAAGATATAGGGTATAGCCTCTGCTCTCAGCCTAGTCTTGCCCTTTTTTGTCTTGACAAACTGGTCTGCATCAAAATGTGCCTGCGGAGTGACTTGAGGTTACACAGAACAACTCAGTTTTGTCTGCCCACATACATATTCCATAGTGGTTGAATACACAGTATTAGGAAACACTTTATACTTACTGGACATGTTATACTCATTACATACTGTATATACAATATGACCAAGAATGTGAGACAACTTTATAGAAATTCATATCACATATGTTACTGATGCCATTTGTTATACTTTGTTAAACTCACAAATAATAAAGTTCCATAACTTCAGTTGGGAACAAAGACCACACCTTATCTCCCCAAGGCAATTTCCCATCCAATAGGTGTGCTATATAGGTGTGTATAACCCTTTCTCCTGTCTGTTTATCCCTCTTTCAGCACAAGAACCAGAGGGGGATTTAATGGAGCCTGAATACCTGCACTGAGACCCTCACCCTGCACCCTGAGTCTCAACTCTCAGTGTTTTTCAAGCCTTTCCCTGTTTTTTGTATTAAACAAAACATTCCCGGTGTAAAATTCTCCGTTATCCAATAGGAATGGACGCTCACATTGCCTTTAACTGCCGCCGACATGGACCGATGCGGTGCTTCCCTGAGCGTCAAATACCGCCGCCGATGGGAATACATTGCAATCAGTTGAAAGCTCTTTGCGACCGCTTATGAAGCTGAAGGAGACTCGGTGCGTCACAACTGCATGCCAAAGGACCCTGACCAAGCGTCGCTATTGGACTATGTTGCCTTCAACATGGCACGCTGAAATGGGGACCGAGGATTCGAGGAGGGGAACATTAGAGAAATAAGAAAGGCCCATTGTGACATCCATCACTATGGGCCTTTCTCATTTCTCTAATTCCCCTCCTCGACTCCCCTCCTCGACTCCTAGTCCCGCCCACAGGAGATGCGAGTGGAGGAATCGAGGAGGGGAAGCAGCAGGCGGTTAGAGAAATGAGATATCCTCTCATCTGAGCGGTCATTTTAACGAGACGTCCATTAATGATGACAGGATGCACAGCAGCCCTCTGTCTGATGGACAGAACTGTGTTCATGATGACTTATTTACTTTTAATTCATTGTTAGTATTAAAAGTAAGCATGGGACACCAAACCAACTGAGACCTGTCTGTCTGCCGCATCTACTCTCTCACACACACACACACACACACACACACACACACACACACACACACACACACACACCTACAGCTCCTAAAGCATATCATATATGATATATCGACTCTTTATTTGTAGATATCTAGGCTATTAAACTAAAGCATACAAATAAAGAGAGTAATGTAGGTCTGTTATACTGAGTGATATACACAGCTGTGCTTTCTGCACAGACCTCACAGCTGTTCTCACTGTAAACATCGGGTGGCGATTCAAGCAGTTAATAAAATAATATCCAGGGGATGCATGCAGAGCTGTCATTGGCTGAGATAAGTCCAGCCTTGCGGCACGACTCTTTAAACATCACTGTTGAATCTGAGGAGGACCCATCAGTGTATCCTCGATTATAGCTCCTCCAGAGAGCCTCCTCGATGTCCTCGAAGTGCATTTAGAGAAATGAGACGTCCTTCAACATGGCGCGCTGAAATCCATTTCCGGGTCACTACTGGAGGACCGAGGATTCGAGGAGTCGAGGAGGGGAATCTGGGCTGCGTCTCAGGTCGACTATTTTCATTTCCTCGGTCGTCCGTCCTTGGTATCACCGGAAGTTGATTTGTCTGCGCCATCTTGAGTAGCGTCCCATGGCTCTTATCTCTGCCGGAGGATCGAGGAGCGATACTGGAGGAGCGATAACCGAGCGAGGAACCACCAGACCACAAGTGAGGGACGCAAGGATTCCATTTAATCGACCGGGGGCCCTTCTCACTTCGGTTAAATGGATTCCTTGCGTCCCTCACTTGCGTCGTTTCCCTGCGTTTAGTCCCTCCCACCAGGGAAGCATGGAGAGACGCAAGGAAACCACGAGAAGCAGGGAAATGAGTTTTAAGAGCAATGGGACGTCCTTTCCTCCGGAGCGTCACGTGAAGCGACGTCCGTTTGTGATGACGCTGCACAGCTGATCGTCTGACAGCAGGGTTGCGTTCCGATAATCCAAAAATCAGCTCCTAAATTCTAACCCTATCTCCTATTCTTTGACCTCTGAGTGAAACGTCACGGGCTTAAGGGATAGTGGATAGGAGAATTAAAAAGGACTTAGGAGAAGAGACTGCGGTACTTTAGAGAATCCAAATGCACTTTCACTATCCGACATGTTTATGATGCGCCAGAGGACGTCATGAATGTGCGTCTGCTGCTGTGGGGGAACTATGGAAACTACAGTTTTCTATACAGCGGACTACAACATGGATGTATAATAAGAACGAGGGACTACTGTCTGAGGATTTCATCGAAGGATGGTCTGGTGGTTCCTCAGTTATAGCTCCTCCATTATCGCTCCTCGCTCCTCCAGCAAAAATAAGGCCATCGGGACGCTACTCAAGATGGCGCAGACAAATCAACTTCCGGTGAGACCGAGGAGCGAGGAAATGAAAAATAAGAGAAGTGAAAAGGGCCCCTGAGATGGGCCCTGAGAGAAATAAGAAAGGTCCAATGTGTGTGATAGGCTAAGGGGCGGGACATCTCTAAGCGGTTGACCAATCACCAAAGAGCCTGCCAATTAACCAATCAGAGCGGACAGGACTCTGGTTTCAGAAAGAGGGTGAAAAGAGATCCTGCAGCACAGGCAGTATGAGAAAATATAGCACGTTTTGAACCTTAAAGCATGTAAATATACACAGTGGAGGCACACAATACAATACCTTTTAACATGGTAGCATTTTAATTATGAGAATAAGCATGTAATTCAAAACGCTGCTGTTGTAAGTACAGCCGCGCAGGGCTGCTAGCATGCGTTTATATTTTTTTAAAACCATTCCCCGGCCTAGCCACATACAGTATGTACCTGAAGACCCCTGTTCTCCTGTGCATTTGATGTATTGGTTTATCTAATTCTGGTCTTTTTTATTCAATGTTATGTAGGCTTTGGATAAAAGCGTCAGCTAAATGCAATGTAATGTTATAATTATTTCAATCTTGTCATATGTCATTCAGTTTTATTTATTTTTTTACTGTTTTCTGTTGCTTATTCTCTTAATGCTGTTATTTTCTTCACCGATCCCTATGTTTCTTCCATGACTTGCTTTGCTTATATAGTACTGAATTTGTGTGTTAGAACCAGAGAGAAGGTGCAACCAAACTAAAAACCATGTTCTCCTCTCTGTTCAGATAATGTCACAACATTGTTTTGATTTGTATCTGTTGCAGAATTTAAAACTGACAGAGAAATCATGAATGTTGCTAATATTCGATCTTATCAACAAGATAGGATTACAGAATTTGAGTTTATTATTTCACAAGTTATACATTAATATAATTATCAACTGTCAAATTGATAAAATTAGCACAATGAATACCCATCAAAACATTTCAGTAAGGCATTTTTTCTCAACATGTAAACAAGCTATATATCATCAAAGTCTGGGTGTCTCAAATACATTCAGCCTGAATCTAAATGGCTACTGTCCCCTGAATTCCTCTCTTGTGGGTATTCCTGGGAGTAACATGACCCCAAGTTATGAGTTCACACAAACAATCCTTTAATAACTACAGTAGGAAAGAGCATGTGTGATACATATAGAGAAAAACAAATACATTTTTGAAAGCCCACTTCATCTGTTTGTCCCAAGCTCCAACAGGACTTTGTGTCTTACTTTTAAGAGAAGGAAACAAACACAAATGTCAAGGTTGTCTCCAAACAACCACCTAGAGCTCCTGATTAATTCCATTGCGTCAGTGGTAAAACCTGTATGTTATTTTTTCTTGAATTAATTGCACTGATTATGGTTCAGTTTGTCCTCTGCTGCAGCTTCGTTGGTCTTGGTGTTGAGAAGTCCCTGTCCAGGCCTCCCGGGGCAGTACCAGCTGGGCCCCAGGCGATACCAGCACTGGTACAGTCCCCTCCAGCTCAGACACCCCAGAGCGCCCCCTAGCAGCTGCGTGGGGAACTGAGGGAAGTAAGCTAAGAGACAGAGCAGCAGAAAGATCCAGAGCCAGAGCAGGAGAACACAGAACAGGAAGAGGATCCTCAGAGGGCCACCTGAGAAGCCACCCAGTTTCAGGTAAGGGCCAAACACGGCGATTTCCTCTGCCAACAGCAGGCAGCAGAGACAGAGGAGGAAGACATCTTCTGAAACTTCATAACCCCTCCACAGCATCCCAGCTCTGAGGCACTCTGACTTACTCGCCCCCTCTCGCAGCACCAACAGAGGCTGCCCATTGGTGACCTCCGGGCTGTTGAGTAAACGTTCGTAGCAGCTTCCGGTGGTGTTCTCCAGAAGGTCCAGGAGTTTGCAGAAACCGACCCACAATCCGCCTGCCACCCCGAGCCGAGAGAGGTGACGGATGGACAGAGAGATGGAGCGACGGATGGAGAAGGAGAGGAGGAAGACGAAGGAGCCAACAAAGATGCAGGTCCAGCCCCAACCAGAGCGCAAGAATATCCTGGAAGAAGAAGAGGGGAGATTTGATGAGGGTTGGAAGGTTAGTGAGAGACTATGGAAGTAGAAGCAGGGGCGGATCTATGGGGGGGGGGGCAAGGGGGGCAGCTGCCCCCCCACTGTAGAGCCTTGCCCCCCCAGCTGCCCCCCTAACTTTTGTTTCCCTAAAACTGTACTAAAACAAACCTACACTATTTCCACAAGCTTCTCAAGCAACAAAACAAGCATTACATTAGTTAAAAGTGAATCATTTAAAATATAATTTTAGGCCCGTTAAAAATGCAGCTACGGCCCTGCATTAAACTGCGGAGCGGCGTTCACACAGGGAGCGAGCTCTCACAGCACCTATGGATCAGCTTCCCCTGGGAACATTTCCCTTTCCACTAGTTTTGTTTTTACTAAGGACGAGAGCTTGAAACTAAATATTAATAAAATGCTGCCGTTTGAATCGATAGCGTTTAACAGATGGGCGCTGTTTGGGGCGTTACGTTACAAAATACTACGCAGACAGCGTTAGCTGGGAGATCGATCACTTTGCTAAACTACGCGGTAGCCTACTATTACATCCACGTAAACTACACATCACAGCCATGAGGCCAGATCAATGAAACCAGGATACATCCTTTACTGTAAAAACTGGATCCAAACACAGCTGCCTGTGTGCGCTTGATCAATACTTTCTGATGTTATATGATATGCTACATATTAGCTAGGCGACATGGCTACGTGTAAAGTTATACAAGCATTTGTACCAGTGCTTTTCACAAGTAGACTCTTGCAGGCCAGAGTATAGGAGTGATTCAACAACAACACAAAGACATATGAGAAGTGATCAGGACGAACAGAAAGAGGAAAAGGAAAAGAGAGTTCACTGAAGAGACCAGGAGGGTCAGAGCAGGAGGAAGAGGAGGAGATGAAGAGACCAGGAGGGTCAGAGCAGAAGGAGGAGATGAAGACATTAGTGAAGAAGAAGAAATGTATGTGAGGAATAAAGATTAAGTGTCAGAAAGAGGGACAGAGGCAGGGATCAGGAGGCAGATGAAACTCCAGCTGTACCACATGGTATGTTCTTATTCTCCTTACATATTCCATCACAGCAGCTCAATCTAGCAGCTCTTAGTATTGAAAAATATTGATTGAAATGTGTTGCTGCACAGGCCACCTTCAGCTCTCTGAAGAGATGGGTGATGTCATTTGTGTACTTAATTATAAGTTGAAATGTTGAGTTTGTCAATCTTAATCTGAAAATACAAAAACTGAAATATAGGTAAGAGAAGAAACTGACACTTTTGTGATGTAATTCCCTCAATGCAGATCACACATGGACTGATCCATTATTTTAATAGGAGGGTAAATGGTATGGCGTGACGGGGTTGAAACAAACTGAGGGACAATATTGCAATTTCATAGATAATTCAAGTATTTATTCAGAATTTATTTTTGATCAGTTAAAGTTGACAAGCATATGATTATATTAGCAGCAACATTTTGGGATAATTGGCCATTTTGATTTGTTTGATATTAAATTAATATGTAATAATGCTTAGTGAGGACATGCAAATATGTCTGTCTAATACTAAGAAAACCAATTTTTTAAAAACTAAATATATATTTAGTTTGACATTGTAATGCAAAAAAACCTGTTCCATTAATTCATTGCTTTAAAATACATTTTGTAGTTTCCTTTCATTTAAAATTGTTGAAGTAAGCTTGGGGGACTCAAAGGGCACCCGATTGTTTGTCTGAATACCTTGTTTCTCTTGTGCATTAAGAACACTTGTGTTAGGGCATGAATTAACAATAAATAGGTTATATACAGTATAAAATACCACGTACGGTCCGCTCTCCCATGCCACCCTGGCATGACCTCTTGCCCCCCCCATCTAAAATGTTCTAGAACCGCCACTGAGTAGAAGTAATGGGAGGAAATTAGATTTTGTCATTTTAAAAATTAAGTATTTATTACACTAAACATCAGGGCATTTATTCCACATTTAGAGTTATATGAACGCAGCCACTGGTAGTCATATCCGTTAATGGTTCCTATTCAGCAAAAGTTCACACATTGCAAGGTTAAGCAGTTGATCTAATGGTACATGGTACACAGAAGTGCTATCTATCAATTTACCTATTTTCTTTTCATTCTGATTGTCCGTTCTTTATTTTTATGTCGCTCTTTCTGATGTCTCTTCCTTTTTTAGACGATTCAACATATCAGAAATAATCTGTTGTCCCTTTATCTACAGTGGTTAATTTGAAATATAATCAAAAATCACTGTTAGTTACTTTTGTTGGTCATTGTATACATTTTTCCTCATCATTACTTTTTTATGTTATCAAAAAGCCAACAGGGTTTAATCTGAAAGGGGTCTTCAGACTCTTCGTCATCATTTAGATATATATTGTACATCAGCTTTAAAATAATCAAAACAGTAAAACGTCTTAAAAATAGCAAAAGGCTTTTCTTTATACAATAACGCTCAGAAAATATTGGCATTGCAGGTACCTCATTTGTCACAACAAACGGAATGGTTCAAAGAAGACAAGTGTACAGGAAGTAAACAGGAAGCAGCCTCACCTGTAGAGGAAGTGGGTTTTCTTGGCAAAGACGCTGTGCTGGGAGACCCAGAAGCTTAGTGCAGGGCCGAACATCACCAGTACCGACAGCACCAGATGGAAGTGCTTCCGGAAAATAGCGCTACCCAGGAACCGGGCCGCCAGGTCCGTCAGGACCACGAGCACCGTGTTGAAGAACATCTGGACCCAGAACTGACTAGATGTAAAGCTAACTCAATATTTCTATATGAGAATGACACTTCTGATGGCTTTTAATGCAGCAGCCTGTTGGTGTAGATTATACACTTTGGACTAAATAGCATGCACTGTGTAATGTGATAATCCTCTCTAGAATGCACTTAACACACAGGTTGATGCTGTGGATCACTTCTGGTGCATAACACAACAATCCAGTTTACCAAGTAGTCTAAATGTACTACACAAACTGCATTTTTTCAGTTTGACAGTGGATCCATCAGTCTATTGATCGAACACTAATCCAGTTTGAGAAATCCAAAGATGCTGCTGTGTAGTAAAAATAGTCGAAGTCCATTTGTGTTAGCTGCTAGTGTTCGGAATCCATGCGTAGAGCTTACTGCATACAAGGAATGAAGGGACAGCTGGACCCTAGCATTCCACCAACTGAAAATATGTGCTCACTGTAAAACCCAACCCCGAAATTCTTTAATCCAGTAGGAGCTCCTTCTCCAGACTCAGTGCTGTTTAATATATCTGCAAGTTTCAGCGCAGAGTAAGCTACAGCTGAACAATGCAACCAAACCACATTACAGTTGCTTTGCAGGTTTTTCCTGGGAAGAGTTTCAGTCTTATCTGATCTTTAAAACAGGGTTCCCTGGTTTGTCATTCCTTTTCTTCTCTTCTCCCATTAGATTACTTCTGCAGAAATGCAATGTCCTCCGCCGTGTTTCACTCAGCAATGGCCACCACTGTGTTACCGTAAGGCTTCCATTGGTTTGATTTGAGAATACTTTCCCTGTACGAACTATCTCAGTGACTGTGGTGTCTCTGCTCTTCTCCGTCACTCACACCCACCTTGTTCTCGCCCCGTACATATGTCTGCAGGGCCTTGAAGGTGTCACATTGCTCCTGCTGGGTTGCCTGAAGGGGACAGAGAGGTTGAGCCAATGACATGGGTTCCTTAGGTTGTAGTATCGATTGCCAGCTGAATCTGAGTCTCATGGCACTGCTTAGTTTGAGCAGTATCATGCGAGCCATTGTAACGGAAAAGTCCGGAGTTGACTAAAATGATGTGAAACTAGATGTAATGAGTCAAATTGTGAGTGTATTTTTATGTTTGTGAGTGTGTGTGTGTGTGTGTGTGTGTGTGTATTAATAGCAATAACCTTTGTACTGTATCTGCACTGAGACTCAGCTGTTGCAGCAGTCTGTCTCTGTCAATCAGAAAATGGTAACACACACACACACAGTCCACATTTGTAATCCTTATTCTCCTTTCTCTCAGGTATTACCCACTTTAATCAAATGTCTTGATATTACCCAATTTTTATCAACAACCACATAGTAATATTTTATCCACCGAGCTCCTTCAGAAAACAAGTTGACTTATAGGCCCATCCTGGTTCCACCAAAATCAGCAAGTATATGCTAGTTTTTCAAAGACGGGAAAATGGTGTTCAACGTCGTGGACACACAGGGTTAGTAAAAAGAAGAAAGCACTTTACTTTCTTTTATGTAACTATTTATGTCTTTCTATCAAACTCCTACAAACAATAAAATACTAACTAATACATATAAATGAGTTTCATTATGTTTTATGTCATGTATAATTTGAAATCAGGTTGGTTTTGTGAATGTTAAGCATTTAAATACATTTGAATTGTCCAAATCCCTGCAGAAATTAATAGCATTATACAGCGGGTGAAAATTAGCATTTCCAATGGGTGTTATATTTCCATCTCTGCCAATCGCAGCTGGAGCCGATGAACACCATGAACTGCAGAGTAATTTGTCCTGGGAATTTTAACATTTCACAAAGCCAGATGTTAGGTGGTGTTATTGGATGTTTTACGTTTAAAAACAGTGTTATAGCAAATGCATTTTCTTGCCTGCCTAAAGTATCTGGAGGGGTGCATTGTGTCATGTCCCATCTTGGTGGAACACTTGTCATTGGTTGATATTTCCACTGAAAAAAATTAAAATGTTACGACCGCTTAAGTGTCATATAAAATAAGGTAAGTTCCTCTAATTTGAAGCACTACCCCTTAATATCTTTCTTCTCTCCCCTGCTGTACTTTGTATTTCTGAATTGTCTGAGCTGAACCGTCCTGTCAATCTGTTCTCTTCAACACCTCTCTGTCATCAGTCCAGAAATACAGGTTGACCTGATAAGTGTTAAATGTCTCCCATGTCTTTTTCCAACTGCGTGCCATGTTTAAACCTTCTAATTCAGTTACAGACAGCATTTGTTACATCACATCTGAGTAATAAATACCAGGAATTCACAGTAACAATTGTTTTTATTTCTATTCAAGCTCAATGTAAAAATAAAAAGGCAATGTTTTTACATACTTGAGGGCACCTAAATTAAATATTTTTCTGGGCCAATCCAAACAAGTCAGTGATTATGATTAACAAATTACCGGGAACCACACTTCTTATTTGTGTTGGAATGTCTTGTACTGCTCAGATGTCTGTCCATGTTATTTTTCTCAAATGACTCAATTAGTGAGTTCACTTCAAAAAAAGAAGCTATTCATAACAGTGTCTAGACAAATAGAAACACTTCTGCAAGGCAATGTAACCTTATCACTAGCTCTGCAACAGATCCTACTTATGTGAAGCTATTCATGTTTGCAGGCTGTGCAATTTTTGCCATGATGACACACACACTGACTCACAGGCTGAAAACAAACCAGCTTTGCTATCACGGCTGATAACAATGCAACTGCATTATTTTAATATCACTTTTTTCCGCCTGTTGTTTTGCTATACTTTGCGTAGCTAACATGCGTTAGTTACTTGCTGCATTACATTACGTTAATTTGTAAGTTACAGTTTTATAAAAATGAAGATTCTATTGTTCAATTTGGTGTTACTGGTGAAAGTCAGTAATCATGATACAATAGGCTGCCGTAGCCTACTATATTTATTTATAAGTGTGATAAAACATTACACTGCACAAGACTAAAAATATTATATTTTAACTGTAATAGGCTATGTACTATTTTATTGACCTCTACTTTAATCAGTTTTATGATTGTTTAGATTTTACTGTACAAAATATGTTTCTGTTACTAATAAATATATAGCTCCACAGCACCTCGAAGAGTTATATTAAAGTAATAAACTGTGGCTCCACCTAACATTATTATATTTGTGTTGCTGCTCTACAGAAAGATTAAATATGTTGGCTACAAAGCATAAAGATGTGAACAGGTTAAACGCATATATCATATACTATATCCATTTGCTGTTTATGAGAATGAGCATATTACAATGTTTCTTCCTCCTGAATCCTTTATCCTGAAAACATACCGCCACCATGTGGAACAATGGTGAGGACACAATTTATACCAACAAGGACAATTGCTCAAAGCCTGAACAGTTTCATTTGAGTAAAAATCCTGTGTACAGATTGTGAATTCTGCCTTGAATTTCTTGTAAAGCATTTAAAAAAACGACATAGTCTACAAATATCTGATCAAACGTCATAGTTTAGTATGTCAAAAACATCAGAAAAAATGACATAGATGAGAGTAACACCTACTTCCGGGCGAAAATTACGACCCCGCCCACTTTTGGGCGAAAACAACGCTGTCATTTGAATGGCGGTCAATACAAATTCTGAAGTTTTGAGAGGGGTCTGCCTCATGGATGTATAATAAGAACTGGATACAGCGTGGGAGGCGGGGCCTCATTCATTCCTATGAGAGTTGCTCATTAGCGCATGATGACAAAATGGCCCAACTTTTGAGAGAGCGAAACGTCACAGATTACCAGGCATGCCTGAGAAGTACCCGTATGTGCACTCATAGCGCATGCGCAACTTTAACGACACCTGTCACTACCCGATCTGCAGCTCTGCCCGATCTGCAGTGCGCATGTGCGAGATGCGGTCCGCCATATTGGACAACTCTGGACGGCAACTCAAGTAGGACAATATTGACACAGTGGCTTTTGGCAAAGCTCAAAAAGAAAACTCGAGAGAGATGAGTTATTGTTATTACAACGTGACTTCACTATTATTTAACAACTCTTTTTATTGGGTTCTTTTATTTGGGGTTAAGTACATTGTCAGAATAAGTGAGAAATGAATGTAACTTCTGTTAGACATATGCCATACATTTTTGCACACATTCACAGTAAATATGTATTCAATATGATAGATGTCTAACAGAAGTTAAATCCATTTCTCACTTATTCTGACAATGTACTTAACCCCAAATAAAAGAACCCAATAAAAAGAGTTGTTAAATAATAGTGAAGTCACGTTGTAATAACAATAACTCATTTCTCTCGAGTTTTATTTTTGAGCTTTGCTAAAAGCCACTGTGTCAAGTGTCCATCTTGGGTGCCGTCCGGAGTTGTCCAATATGGCGGACCATCTCGCACATGCGCACTGCAGATCGGGCAGAGCTGCAGATCGGGTAGTGACAGTGACAACGCCGCCCAAAAGGCTCGTTCACATTAAGCACGTGAATTTGCGTACACGTAACAGCACCGCGCGTTCATGACAGCATGGTACTGGATTTATATTAACGAGGCGGCAGTTAGCAGCTAGCTAGTAAATGATGCTAACTTACACATCAATCGTTATGTACTTTTATATTACGCTGACATCAGGATCTAGTGATATCCAAGCAACAGAGCTTCATTTAGCATGATACTTGTGTGGGTTGTACATGAAACCACTTGGTAATATACAAATGTATATGTTGAAGCCTGTTATGATCAATTGTGAGTTAAAACTTGATCTAAAAAGTAAAGCTGATGATGGATTACTGTGGTGGAGTTAAAATAACAATATCCTATTTATTTTTTAAATGTGATGGAGTAAAAGGATAGTAACTGATTATTCATGTTAAGTAGCCCACAAATAACTAAAACGTATAATACTTGAAGGAAAGGTGTAAAATGTTCCCATAAATACCAATATCACAGTACAACACCCCTTGTTGTTAAATACCAACCATGTGTATTTATATATATATATAAATATGCCGCTAAAACTGTGTAATATACCAGGCTGCTAAATCCTCCAAACTGTTGTTACAGGATGTGTATTTTGTGAAATGTGTATTTTTTTTAAATGATAATTTCTTGTTTTGAATCTTTAATACTTTTATGCATACTTTAAGTAACATTAGGGTGTCTTTGGCTCTTTTCTGCTGTAACGATGTAAATGTATTCTGATCTAATTGATGTTTTTGTCAGTTTGTTTCCCTATATTGCGACACTTATTTGGTTTAAGATTATTTCTCCTTTTTTTACAGACATCCCCAATCATAGTGGAATGCTGTTGTAAAGGATTGCATTGATCCGTGCATCAATACCTTCACCCAGCTTTGAGGCCTCCAATGAATGAACATCATCTTGTGCCTGGAAAAATGTGAACAAATACATCTCACAAAGAGTGACTTTCTGGTGTAATCATTATAATATCAAAGACAAGCACTTTAAGTAACAATATATAAAATCATTCAGCAGCAGAGGATGGGGTGGAAACAGCATTTCTAACTAAGATGATTACAATATTACAAGTTAAACATCAAGATGAACATACTATTATTCATTTAAAAAGTACATGGGAGACTTAAATATCCTGCAATATACCATTAGCAGAATTGGAACAAATGTGCCAACACATTTCTAAAATAAACATAAACATAAACTGAGGGCTTTCTTCCTGAGCCGCTGGGAGTAAAGGTCCTCCATGGATGGCAGCTCCGCCCTGGTGATGTTCTGTGCAGTTTTCACCACCCTTTGGAAAGCCTTACGAATGAGGGCGGTGCAGCTGCCGCACCAGGCCGTGATGCAGCTGTGTCCGTGATGGACACTGAGGAACCTGAAGCTGCTAACTCTCTCTACCGTAGTCCCATTGATGGCGATGGGGGGCGTGTCCCTCTCTTTGCTGCTTCCTGCAATCCACAATCAGCTCCTTGGTTTTGCTGACGTTGAGATGGAGGTTGTTATCCTGGAACCAAGATGTCAGGTTTTCGACCTCTCTGTACGCCGTCTCGTCGTCTGGGTGAGGCTGGGGAAGATGAGTGAGGGAAAGAGAGAAACAAAACAGGGGGACTAAGATGAGTGAGGGAAAGAGAGGAAAAGACAAGGGGACTAAGATGAGTGAGGGAAAGAGAGAAAAAGACAAGGGGACTAAAGTTTAAGAGAGAGGAAGAACACAGAATGTGAGTGAACAATTTAATTAAATTACACATTTAAAAAAAATAGTGTGAGTAAGTGAAGACATCCTTACAAGGAGGACTGCCCTGTCAAATTTAAAAGTTATTCTTGTTAAATATACATATCCTGTTGAGGCTAGAATCCAAAATGCAGAACCACTTTAGATTGTAGCCTCAAGGGACTGTTTAAGGTTACTTAAAAACATATCATTTCCCAAATTGGTGAAATGAACTCCATCTCTTAGAAATATGCCAGGGCAATATGCCTTAATGCAAGGATGCCTTACACTCTACCCAAACCACTAACACATTTACCCATCTCTCTGTTCACCCACATTCTGGCCTTGTTCAGCTTTCCCGGATTGGCTTTCCTCCAGTGACATCTCTCATTGATAGAAGATAGAATTTTCTTCATCTCTGAGAAGTTGTCACTGAGGGAAAGCAGGTCCTGCTTCATCGCTGTGACAAGCTCCACACCTTTGATGTTGCCAAGGTCGTTGCCGCCACAGTGGATGAGCAGGACATCCGGGACTGTTCTTCCTCTCAAGGACTGATAGAAAAAGGGAAGAAGGTTCATCCACCTCAGACCACCCTTGCCAAACCACCACACACGGCAATTGAGACCCAGGTTGCTTCCCATGGTGTGTCTGGCTCTTTCTTCCCCACGTCTAACGTAGCTGCTCCCTATTATCCACACATTGGGACCTAGATAGAATAAAATATATTGAAAAAGGAAAAAGTGGTTACTGGTGATCATCTTTTAGAAAAAGGTGGTACATGTAGCCTGAGTTGTCATATCATTTTCATCATATTTTTAAGACTACACAAGTTTAATTTGTATATTATATTACATATAACTCTATACTTGTATATAGAATCATGATGAAACTTTATAAGGATTAAGATTATATATTAATATTACATTAAATAATGCATGACGATTTCATGCATTATTACGAAGCAGGATGTATCAAGTCACTGACTTTTTGTGATAAGGTCACAATCAACTGATTTCACTTATCAGATGTAAAAATAAGGTACAATATATTTGTTTTTGCCATATGAAAGTAAAGGGTATGCAATCAAAAAATTACTGAAACAAAATG